ATCTATGCCCCGGCATCTGGCTCACAAGCTGACAAAGTGGCGTTCCTGGACCAACTCAGCGACCTCATCAAGTCAGCCACCCAGCCAAACGACGACGAGCCAAGGCTGCCCGCCATCATTGGCGGCGACTTCAACAACACACCAAACATCAGCCACCTGTACGTCCAGCCAGAGCCAAGCCAAGAGCCTAGGAGCGCCACACAGGCAAACCACGCTCTCAAGGACTTCATCAACAAGCACGCACTCGAGGATGCCTGGCTGCTCAACCACCATGCCGATGACCCTGTCGAATACACACGATGGCCGAGCAAGAACCAGACACACCGAGCCTCCCGCATCGACCTCATGCTCCTGTCATCCAACCTCCCGCTCACAATCAAGTCGACCGCGACCAGGATTTACCAACACTCGGATCATCGAGGCGTCTGTGTGAACCTGGTGGCGCCGTCCGCGGAAGACAGATGCACTCCACCCTTCAAGCTGAACGACACCATTCTCGAACACGCTGGCTTCTGCGGCATGGTACTCAACGAGATAGCAGAGCTGGCGCGCCGCCCCGACCCCGAGAACCACTGGACTGCTTTCAAGGCCGACGTAGCATGGCTAGCCCAGTGCCTGTGCGGCTCCATTGCGAAAGACCGGGCGAAGGCTCTGGCCCAAGCGAGCCGCAAGCTCAAAATCATCGAAGGCAATCTCCTCGCAGCAACATCCCCCGCAGAGGCAAAACTGCTTGCAGCCGAACGAGCGGAGCAGGAAGCCCGTGTCAAAGCTGAGCTCGAGCATCGCGCGCAAGGAGCACGAGTCCGCTCGGCCAAAAAGTGGCGCACCGAGGGCGAACACCCCACCTCCTTCTACTTCTCGCTCGAAAAGCAGTCCCAAAAGGCGACGCACATCCCAATGCTCCTCGTCGACGGCAAAGAAGTCACCGATGCGGCCGGCATCACAGACGCCCAGCGTGACTTCTACGCTAAGCTCTATGCGCACGTACCCATTGACCCAGCAGCTGCCCGGCACATCCTCAGCCATGCAAAGCCCAACGAGATGCTCGACGACGAGGACCACGAGTTGATGAGCAGACCGCTGGAGGCATGGGAGATCGTCCACGCCATCAACAAAACTGCACCTGGCAAGTCCCCAGGGCCCGACGGGCTGGGCACTGCGTTTTACAAGAAGTTCAAGCACGAGCTGGCCCCAATCCTCGCCGCCATCGCCAACCGCTCGCTCGAAAATGGTCGCCTTCCGGAATACATGCAGGACGGCTTCGTCAAGCTGCTGTACAAGAAAGGCCCGCGCTCTGACCTTGGCAACTACCGACCAATCTCGTTGCTGAACTGCGACTTCAAACTCCTGACCAAAGCAGTGATCGCTCGGCTGCAGCTGGTGGTCAACGACATCATACCACTCAACCAAAACGGTTTTGTCACCTCTCGGACCATCGATGGCTGCGTCCATCTCACCCGAGATGTGATTGATCTGTGCAACACCATCAAAACCCCTGGAGTGATTGCCATGACAGACGCGTCCAAGGCGTTCGACAAGGTCTCACACGACTTCCTGTATGCTGCACTCAGAGCGTACGGAGTCGGGCCAGGCTACATCAACATGATCAAACTCTACAACACCAATGGCCGCTCCGCGATGGTGTACCAAGGCCGAGTCTCGGATCACTTTCCAATTCAAAGGTCGGTGCGCCAGGGAGGCTGCGACTCGCCGACGCTCTTCGCGTTCTACGCCTGCGCCATCGTAGACTACATCACGTACGGCACAAAGCTCAAGCTGTTGCGGATCCCCAGCAGCAATCTCAAAGCCGATCGCAAGCGTGGCCGAGCGAATGAGGACCGGCCAGACGATCTTGTCATCCTCCCCACCCTCTTCGCAGATGACTCGTCCTACTTTCTCGCCTCACCAGCAGACGTCCCAAACCTGCTGAACGAGCTCAAGTTTGTGGGGACGGCCACAAATCTGGAAATCAATGCACCAAAGACCACCATCATCCCGCTCGGACCAACTGCAACGCGCAAGCCTCCCCCCGACCTGGAAGGCCTCGAGTGGGTTGGACCAAACTCTACGACGCGCTACCTCGGTGTCATGCTCGGCCACGGTGATCTGACCGTCGCAAACTTTGGCGACCTACTTGACAAGCTGCACGGCCAGCTGTCGAGATGGCTCGTCCACGGACCGTCACTCCCAGGTCGTGTGCTCATCGCCAACACCATTGCGCTGTCCAAAGTCTGGTACCGAGCGAGGTTTGTGCCCCTCTCGTCCGAGCAGACAGCAAAACTCACCCGCATCATCGACAAGTTCCTCTGGCACCCAAGCAAATGGCCGCGAACTCACCAGGCCAACGTCGCAGCACCAATCAAATCCGTGGCATGCGGACTCGGACTCATCCCTGTTCGGCGTCACCTCAAAGCCCTCCTCGCCCAAGCCGCCCTGGCATGGTGTCAGCCGTATGCTGCCCCATGGAAGCACATCGCGGCCGCCTCTGGCGTGCGGCAGACAAGCCAGCATGCCCACTCAACGTGCTCAGGCTGGTGATCAAGGCCTCGTCAGACTTTATTGGCATCTCTGCATTCTGGCACAAAGCCTTTGAGGCATGGCACGAGCTCAGGCCAGAGCTCCAAACCCCTGCCTGCCGCGACGAGGCGCTCGCTCACCCTCTCTGGGACTCACCGGACATTCAGGACGGCGGCAAGCCGCTCTGGTGGCCGAGCTGGATCCTCAACGGATACATGCGCGTCCGCGACCTGCGCCGCTTCATCGGTAACCCAGCTAGAGAAGAGTGGTCCCCGCTCTCGCTCGTCCAAAGCTTCACCAACGCAAAATACTACAACACGCTCCACGAGGCACTCGACCGGAGCCAGCTCTCGTCGCTCGTAGAGCAGGATAGCTCCACAATCCCGTCAGTGCAAGATCTACCGTGGTGCTGGGCCCAACCAGCCGACGACGACGACGCCAATCCCAAACTCTTCAGAGTTGTCAAACTCCGCACGGGCAGCCCGCTCACAAGCAGCTCACTCGGAGCCGGCCAAGTGTTCTACGAGTCGGAGAACGCCCTGATCGCACCTGCCCAGCCAGGCCTAGTCCTCCTAGTCACCAAGTTCCGCCTGGCAACCGCGCAACACGCCACCGTCGTCTACTGGCGAGCCCCCAACACCAAGCCTGAACCAAACAAGCGGGGAAAGATTTTCCTCCCACGAAAGCAGCTGTACCATGTTGGCCGCACTCAACTCATGCCCCTCATCTGGAGCAACATCGTCCTCAACGGTGTTCACTCAAGCGTCCAGAAGCCCCTGCAAGTCACATCGCACAAGCTCAAACTGAAAACGCTAAGGCAGCTGCTCACTCCACGTCCCTCGAGACCAGACGCCCTCCAATGGTGGATCAACAAAGTTGGCTACGTGCCCTTCGAATCACTGGCCAGCTCCATCAGAACCAGTCTAGTCACATCCAAGCAAGCCTCCCTGCTCTGGCGCATTGCACACCGCACCAACCGACTGGGCGCCGACTGGCTGGAAACAGATGGTCAAGCCCTGCGCGCCGGCTCGCTCTCCCGCGAAGAGTACGACGACAGAATTGCCACTGGGCGCTACGACTGCGCGCACTGCAAACACGACGGCCGCTCGGCCAGAGAGACCTGGCACCACATCCTTGTCCGCTGCCACACAGCCCAAGCGGTTTGGGAAACCGCGAACGCCATCTTCCAGCACGCTCACTCAAGTTCCCTCCCAAGGTTCGACAAAGCCCTCCTGTTCGGTCCCTTCCCCACCACGCTTGCGCGTAAAAAGGAAATGCGAGCGCTTGCCACGATCCTGTACCACCTCGGACGCTGGGCGATCTGGCGCACCCGCTGCGAAGCAAAAATCAACAACACATTCACACCCAGCCACACCACCTTCATCAAACTCGTCCACTCCCGCGCCCTGCAGGACATTGTGCCGCGAGCCCCGCCTGCTGACTCTCCCACGTCGAAGATGTGGGGAAAGTGCATTGTCAGGTCAGAAGAGAAGACCACCATTTCACTTCTACCCCCGAAACCCGGTGAGCATGAGCAAACCGAGTCACCAAGCGGCGCCCGTAATGACCAGGACGCTGGCACCAAATTTGCAACCGCAAGAATAAGTTAAACACGTTGCCCTTGTCACTTACTCCTTGCCCCTGATCATGATCCTCCTCTTTGTGGTTTTTGAGCCTTAGAAGCTTTTCCACTCTCCAATAAGCGGAATACAAAAAAAAAAAAACAATTCCCAACCCCCCCCCTCCCTCCTCCCCGCCTCCTGACCCGCCACTTTACCTCTCTGCATTTCGCCCTGCTTTGACTCATCGAGCGAAAAGCCGCTCATTCCATTTTGTTGTTATTTTATTTTATTTTTTATTTTTTATTTTTTTTATTTTTTATTTTTTTTTATTTTTTATTTTTATTTTATTTTTTATTATTTTTTATCGTTTTTCAGCGTGTTTGATTGACAGGTTTTTTTTCCTCTTCCTCCTGTTGTTGTCTTGTTGCTCCTGTGCTCCCCTGTGCAAGCAAACCCGATTGTGCTCACACCGCTGTCCACACGCTCTCGCTCTCCGCCCGCTCGCTCGCTCCCTCCGCTCGAGTCAGGCCAAAGGTCAGCTTGTACATGTCAAACTAATCTCTGTCACTTTTTTTTTTTTTCAAAGCCTGCGAATAATGTTTTTGACTTTTACTCTTTTTTTTTTTCTCTCTCTCTCTCTCCCGTCCCCTGCTGAAACACGTCCTCCCCTCGTCGTCCACTACAGCGCACGATTGTTTCGCACCCTCCACTACCCACCGCGGCTGCCCTTTGATCCGCGCTCCTGGATCCCATCGACGTCAAAAGGCGTGAAAAAAAATCCCAACAACAAAAAATCCAGAAAAAAAAAAAAAAAACACTCGAAACAATCGCATCCCATGTTTGCGTCGTCCTCTCAAGCACCCTTCTACCCGGCCAGTCAAGATGGCGGGCACATGCAGAATGCGGCCTACTTTGGCCAGGCTGGCGGCTCCATGCACTTGGCGGGCCCGCAGCAGCTGGTTTATGGCAATGGCGGCTCTGGCACATCCTCCCCTGTCAGCCATCGATCCGCCGTGCGCTTTACCGCTGCTGCAGGTGCTGCTCCTGGTGCTGCTGCCAATGCTGGTGCTACTGCTGGTGCACCATCAACCTCGCGAGTCGTGGCAACACACGCCCCAAGTGCCCCCGTCACTCCAAACGCAGGCCCGTTGTCGATTGTGACGAGCGGTGGCATTTTCTACCCGAGTGCAGTTCCGCCCACCATGCGTGCAAGCGCTGTGGGCTATGGCGTCTCAGCACCTGTCAGCCCAATCAGCTCTCCCGCCGGCGAGACGGAGGAGACAACCCGCTCCCGCAAGAGCTCGAATGTGCTGTACAAGACCGAGCTGTGCCATTCGTTCGAGAATAGCAAACTCTGCAAGTACAAGGACAAGTGCCAGTTTGCACATGGCCGGCACGAGCTGCGTCACATTCTGCGCCACCCAAAGTACAAGACCAACGTCTGCCGCACGTTCCAAGCAACCGGCACGTGTCCGTATGGCAATCGCTGCCACTTCCTGCACTCCAACGAGAGCAGCACACCCGGCGAAGGCGCTGCCAACTATTCGCAGAGCATGCCTTCCACGCCGTTGCCTTCGGCCGTGTCGGCCGGGCTCCGTGGCGGTGAAGCGCACCCGTCTGGCCATGACTTGACGGGCGACTTGCTGATCGAGTCGCTTCGTGCCAACCCGCACCTGTTTGGCCACTCTGCCGGCCAGCTCCACCTTCGCCACGGCGGAGCCCAGGCCACTTCTCGCGGACAGGCCCACCAGCCGCCCTATGCACACTACCAGGGAGGTTTGCCGTCGATGGAGTCGCAAGCGCTTGCCGCACAGCAGGCATTGTTCGAGCAGCAGGCTTTGCTCGAGCAGCTCCAAACGCTAACCCTCGGTCCCGTTCCGCGACACGGTTTGGGCCAGCACCACCATGTTCCTGTGCAGCACTCCCCGCTCACGATTGCACAGCACCAAGCGATGGTGCACATGCAGGGAGGCCCGCTGTCAGGTCCCGGTGGCTACCCGCATTCTTCCTCCGATGATGGTCGTGCATTCGACGCTGCTACTGCTGCTGTCTGGCAACATGCCAGCTCGCCTCCCTCTCAGCACACCGCTGGCAGCCTTTCGTCGTCCACAACCACGTCCGTCAAGGGCAATGCATTCAATGCCGTTGCCGGCAAGCTTGATCACGACAGCTCTGGTGCCTTCTTGCCGCGCGCTGCGCCTTCGACGTCCTCGGCGACCTCTGGCACTGTGCTTCGAGGAGTGGTTGGAGCTGACGATGCAGCTGCATGGGCAGACTATGCGACGTACCCTCAGTTTGGCCTGTCTCGAGAAGAGACAGCCTTGTCGGCGGCTGTTGGCTCTCCACCCAAGGGCTCTGCTGCTCAAGACGGGTTGTACACTTCCCGCGGGTCGTCGTCGGCTCAAGATCAGCCCACTCTGCCAGCCGTGTATCGACAGCGTGCACCCAGCGGTCCTGAATCGCCTGGGGACCGTGCCAAGGACTCATCCCCAAACCGCGCTGAATCTGCCGCTACCCGGCCCGCGACTGCCTCCTGGTCTCTCTCTGCCAATCCCCAGCTGATTCCCACGACCAGTAGCGAGGACGAAGCTTTTGACTTGTTTTCTGATTCGCACTGGTTCAACTGATGTGGCCTTTTGTCTTGTTGACATCCCAAAATGGCCGTTCGCTGCATCCAATGACAAGTCCGATTGTCCATTCCCTTCATTCAGTTTTTTTTTTTGCTGGATGTCTCTCGTGTCTTATTTGAAGTTTTTGTACCAAGGTTGTTCTTCCCGTACTGTGTTTGTTTTTAATCTTATGGGTTGCGCGGCTGCCGCCTTCTTCTGTTGCCTGCCTGCTTGTTTTTTGTTTTTTATTTGGTTGTGATGCTGCTCGTTGTACTGGGCTTCGATATTGGCGCTTTCTTGTGTTTGCCGTGTTGTTGATTGTCTGCGTAATCCCCACTTGCATGATCCACCCAGAAAAAAAAATGCCAACTTCAATCAACAGAATGTTTCAAAGTTAATCAACAAGATGTTTCAGATTCAATGACTGCGTAGCATGGTGTCATTTGTTTTGAATTCTTGCGAGGAGGCGATGGCCAAAGGCCTTTTGTGCAACGTTGAACCCGAATCCAGCCGATGAATCGCCGCCTGTTTTGTGTGTGTGTGTGTGTGCTCGTTCAGAGCGAGGTTGGATTGTGCGATTTCGCTCTGAAGAGAGAGAGAGAGAGCGTTTACAAAGGAATGCACATCAGCAGTGGCAAAGTCAGTCGGCTACCAGATCCCTCGGTTGGGTTCTCGGGGTCGATGACGATGTTGACAACAAGCCGTTTCGATCGATGATCAACGATCCTTCCTCCATGACACACCCGCCGCCGATCTCTCGGTCCATGACCTCAGTTGTGTTGTGACCAAGTAGTCTTGTTGTGTGCGTTACATAAGGCGGAAGGGGGTCAAAACCAAAAAAATCATGTGGAGATGAGTTTGGCAGGTTCCGACTCCGAATTGGATTGGCATGGCGCTCATCCATACCACAATGCAAAACCACCAATTTCAGCTTTCCTTTGTTGTGGAGACCTTTTTCGAGCACCCTGTGTTCATCGTTTTGGCGATCGACTCTGGGTGGCCCAACTCTCCCTCCTCCCCTCCAGCTGGTCTGCTCAATGCATTGCACTCATGTGAAATCCCGCCTTGTTTTGTTTTCTTTTCCATTTTCCCGCCCATTTTTTCTTTTTCCATTCTGTTCTGTTTTTGATTTGCCTTTTATTTTCTCGTGGCTGGTTTTGGACGAGGCTCACTTCTCATTTGGTGAGCAATTTGTCTGCTGACAAGAATGAAACAACGAAAATCGGGAGTTCGGGCTTTATTCATTGTTGGCATTTTATTATTTCTTTTATTTGGTTTTTCAGCGTGGTTTGTCGTCCGTGTCAGAGCCATCGGTCGCGCGCGTTGCGTTTGGCTGGGCAGAGTGTCGCGCTTGTGGCCTCTTGAAGGCGCGCGCAGATGTGTTGTGGGGGGGCGTTCGTCGTGCATTCGCGCAGGAGGTGCGGCTAATGATGCCGCTGAGCATTCGATCCCCCATCAGCCCCACCTTGGCGCACCTTGCCCACCCCCTCCTCCCTCGACTCGTCCTGCGGTCCCCTGGAGACTCGCCAACCGCGGCGTATGAGCGACACGCTCTTATCACTCGCGTCTCTCGCCTCATTCGCATCGATGGCTCGCCATGGGGATGGTGAGAGGGGCGGTCTCGCGCTCCACGCATGTGCGTTCAAACACACAAACACACGGAAGACATGTCATTGATTTTCGGGGGACTCTTTTTTGTTTGTTTCCGTTTGCTCTCGCTCCTCGGTCTCGCACACTCCCATCAAACCACCTCTGCTAGTGTATAGTGTCTGAGTGTGCAACGGGGTGGGGCGGTTCGCTCGACTGCAGAAGCCAGCTGGACTTCAAGCTGTTCCAGCGTTGTTTTGTTCCCAACCAATCCAGCCTTCCGATTGGCGGATTGATTTTGAATTTTATTTTTTATTTTGTTTCACGGCGATCGATTTTCTTGTTTCTTTTTTTTGTCTTTTTTTTTTTTTTTTTTTTTTTTTCTCTTTTGTACTTCCGTTCGGTTGGCGTCTGCGGCGTCATCTGCCACGCTCATCGGGGACACTCGCAGTCATTCCCATTCAACGTGAGACTGACGCTTGTGTTGACACGGAACTTTCTCTCTGATGGCTGACCAAATGCCCCAAAAAATCAGGGCGCTTTTGGTTGTGGATTCAAAAAACAGGGAAAGAAAAAAAAAAAACACCAAAAAAAAACAGGAAAAAACACTTCCCACTTCCCCACGGCTATTTACAATGCGTTCTTCACTCTCCTGCGTGCTTTTCTCCAAAAGCCGCGCTCGTGCTCGTGGGGTGTGTCTGGATTATCTTTACCTTCCTCATGCCTCATCCTACGAGCGGAAGCGCAACAGGTCGGTCTTCGGCTCTTTTTTTTTCTGTTTGTTTTTTTTTTCTGTTCTTTTGGCCGCGTTTCGCGCTTTTCAATGAATCTCCACACAACAAGCCATCGCGTTCTTTTTTTTTTTTTCTCTTTCTTTATGTTTCTCTCTCTCTCTCTCTCCATCTCGACTTTTGAGGCATTTTGGCTTTGTTGTGGTTCAATTTTGTTTAGTGCGTGGGGTTTTTTTTTTGTTTTGTGTGTGTGTGTGCGTGTGTGTGTGCATGTTCTTGTCTTCTTTGAGATGCTTTTGGTGGTTGTCAAAGTGTAACGCTGCCGCTGAATGTCCGTTGTTCTTACTTTTGCTGATTTTTGTTTTTCGATTTATGTTGTTTGGCGTTCATTTTTTCAGGTGTTGTGTTTTTTTTTTTTTTTTTTTTTTTTGTATTTTTGCAGTTTCTTCCTCCCTGCCAGCCAACCTATCGAATTTTTTTTGTTCGTTCGGATAGCCGTCTTCTTCAGGACTATTTTTGTTTGTTCCACTTCCTCCTTGTTCTTTTGTCTTGTCGTCTTTCGTGTAGTTTTTGATTCAAACTACCCGTTTTTGTTTTTTCCGTGCTTTCATTTTCTTTTCTTTTTTTCAACCCTCAACCCTCTGCTTCTCTCTGTGGTTCTGCTGAGGTTTTTTGTTTCTTTGGCTTTTTCCGTCTTTTCATCAATCTTGCACGCCCTTCCTTTTCATTTGGGAAGGCGTTCAAGTTGACTTTCTTTTTTTAGGAGTTCCATTTCCTATTTTTTCTATCTTCCTCCTTTTCGTCGGTCTGAGACCCTCCGTTATTTAAACCCCCCCCCCCTTTGTCCTTTTTTCTTCCTCTCTTACTACTGCGCGCTGTGACACACCATGCCTGGCTGCAAGGGATTCGTCTGCACCTACCCGTACCAAGTCAAGGGGAGCGACCAGCAGTTTGAGGTGCCGGAGTTTGTCCTATGACCGTTTTTTTGTTGTTCTTCCTGCTGTTCACTTTGCGACCCGCTTGCAACAACCAGGTCTGCAAAAGCTACCACGGCAAAACGACTACCAAGGCCAATGTCCAGAAGCATGTCTGGTTGCATGTTCGCGGCTCGGCCGAACGAGAGACCAAGTTCCGTGCCGACTCGCCCATGCTCACCTTGGTCAACCCCTACGTGTACTACATGTTTGGCAAGAGTAAGTTGTTGCGCATGGGGCTTTTTGTTTGCGCTCGACCAGCAGCAACATCTTGTTCATTCCCACCGACCTTTTTTCCCCAATTCGCTATGCTAGAACCATGCGAACAGGCTCGAACCCGGCGGCATCGCGCCAACAAGCCCGCTGATGACTTGTCTGGCGACCGTCGCCTGTCTGCGGCATCCTCTGACTCGCTGTCGTCGTCTGCGTCGGATGACTCGGACGACATGTCTGACAACGACTCCATCTCGAACTCGTCTCACCTTGGCAGTCTGGGCAATTCCATCCGTCCGTCCAGTCGCGGCTCTGCGCACAACCTGTCTGCCTCGAACTTGGCTGCGTCCTCGTCTTCTCACATCCCGCCGCCCGGGTTCTTTGCCGATACCCTTCTGGCCGACTATGTCGCTGGCGCTCTCAACGCGGGCAAGACACGCCCAATGCAGGACTTGCACAACGAGAGCGGGTCTGTCACCTTCAAGCGTCCACTTGCCGACCAGCAGTCCCAGGATACTTTGCGCAAGATGCCCCGTATTGGCGCCCTTTCCTTAAACTCCAACTCTGACTGCCCAGCACCAGGCGGTATTCCCGCGTCCTTTTTCGTGCCCCCGCCTTCCTCCATGTGCGCTGCCTCCGTCATTGTCTCTGGCAACAGTCGTGCGTCGATTGTTGCTCCTCCGCGCGCCATTCCGACGCTTGCGCAGCAGCAGCAGCAGCACGTGCTTCAGCACCAGCAACTGACCATGCCCAAGCACCAGGTTCCCAACCGACTGATGCCACCACCGACGTTCGCACACCAGCGACAGCAGCAGCAGCAGCAGCAGCAGCAGCCACAGCAGTCCCAGCAGCAGTCTCAGCAGCAGTCTCAGCAGGCTGCTCAGCAGCTGCTTGCTCTCGGACCAAACAACAAGCAGGCTGCACTCAACCTCAAGGCGCCTGCGAGCGGCTTGCAATCGGGCGTCCTCATTGGACGAGCTCCGGGACGCCCCAACCAGCCCCTCACGATGCCCAACGCTGCCCTGCAGTGATGACGCCCATTGCGGTGTCGCCATTGGCCTTTCCCCTACGGTCTGTTTTTCGCCGAGTCTGCTGGGCACTCCCTTCGCTATGGGTGCCATGAACTTTTCGCTCTTCACGCCGCAGCCAGTGCAGCCGACTCTTCCGCAGGCACAGCAGCAACAGACGCAGCAGCAGCATCAGCAGCAGCAGCAACAGACACAACAGCAGACACAACAGCAGCCGCAGCAGCAGCCGCAGCAGCCGCAGCAGCACTCCCAGAGCTCCTCCGACCTGCCACCCCAGTCCACTCAGGCAGCCCAGCAACTGGCTGCATCCGGTGCTCCGTTCATGGTCATCCCCGGCTCGTCGCTCGTTGGTGGAATGCACTCCCCGTCCGTGCTCCTGGCTAACTTGTTGGCCTCGCCGTCCCCGCTGATGATGATGCCCCCGTCGCCAATGTTCCTGGGCATGTACAACGCAAGCGCCATGCAGCAGCAAAAGCACCTTCATCAGATCATGGCACTGGACAAGTTCCAGCAGCAACAACAACAACAAGCACCGCAGCTGCTGCAACATCATTTGCGCCAAGACACCACGACACACAACCCCATGACTGGCTCCGGGGGGATGCGCACTGGTGCGCACTCTGCTACTACATCCTCCTCCGTCATGTCCCCGCCGAATACCACCATATCCGAGTCATCGTCGGTCTCCTCCATCATGTCCACCTCGGCCTCGTCAAGCTCTCCCATGCCTGCAGGCAACGCAAAGTCTGTCAGCTGCTCGCTGACCTCCCATCTTATGCCCTCTCCTCCGCTGTCCGGACGATCGGGCTTTTTGCTTGCCAGCTCCAACTTTTCCCAGTCTGACGAGCACACTCCCATGCAGGTTGAATCTGCCTCTGCAAGTGTTGCTGCCAATTGAGACTGCTGGCTTTTCACGGCGCGATCCAACTCGCAGACTTCCCACCTTTGAACTTGATCTCATTTTTTTCTTGCTTTTGTACATTACTGCATCTTTTTGCGAACGTTCTATTTTGTATCCCCACCCCCACCCCCACACTCACCCGCAATCACCCTTGCTTTCGCATTCTTTTGTTCTTCCGTTTTGGTTGTTGTTGCTTTGATTTGTGCCGTCCCCGCGTGTCCTTGTCTTTCTTGCTGTCATTATGTTGCTTCCAACCCTAAAGCGGGTTGGTTAAGGGTCAACTATTTGAGAATCCGTTATGTTAACCAGTAAAAATGTACCACCATCAGTCTGACAAGTGTGCGAAAAGAATCTGTTTGGAACAGGAAAACAAAAATCAGTCTGTCTTTGCGTGTGCTTCTGGTGCTGGCGTGGGTGCTTGGGGTGACCCGAGTAACAACAAAAACCTAGTTCGGCGATAGAGCCAACCAAAAACAAAACAAAAACAAAGGAGAGTGAAATTGCAGAATGCACGAAATTCAATCGCGAGTCGTCAGGACGTTTTACCATTGGACAGAGGCAAACAAGGCTACGGAAATCACAGTCAGGAAAATGACGTGAATGTTGGCACCGGATGCATACAGCCAGAATCCGAGCGCGAGAAACAGGCCTACGGTGTGTGCCAATGTTGAGAAGAAGAATCACAACACGAACAAACACCGCCGCTGCAGCCGAAACTTTACCGACAAAAGCAATGTTCATAAACTTGATGACGCCGGCGTTGATTCCGGGTGTGACGAACGACTCTGCGACCTGTGCGAGCATGCCAGGCTCCTAAATGACATTCAAAAGCCAAAACGCTTGGTGAGCTTGGCAGCAAGTATTTCCACTTAGTTTTCTGGGGTTTCATTTCATACCTCTTCAGCCGGTGCCTCGGCAATGTCATGCTCTGTCGTGTCATTCTCAGCCTCTGTGACTGCATCGGCATCAGCAGCATCAGCAGCAGCATCAGCAGAATCCAAGCCGACGCCAGCTCCCGAATCGGTGCTCTGGACCAGGCGAGCGACAATCTCTGCTGCCTGTGCCACTGCAGCGCTGATGCTGTTGCGCCTTGACGAACTTCTGCTCCTCGGCTTGCCTGGCTCGTCTGCAGTGGCGGCGGCGTCCCTGCCATTGACGTCGTCGTCGTGGTGGTGTGGAGTGGTTGCGCTGTCGCTGTCGAGCTGCTGAGCCACTACAGCAGCCGCAGCCGCCACCTGTGTGCATCATGACAGTGATGTGAGTGATGAGTGATGTGATGAGTGATGTGATGTGAGTATCGTGGCGGGGTGCCATGCGTTTGTTTCTTTTTCGTTTTTTGGCGGGAGATTCCCGAATCACCAACCCCCCCCCCGCGTGTCCCAGCCATCAGTAAGCTGTTATAACAAGGTCATCGTGCGTCGTCGTTTGTTCTACAATGAAGTGTTGTTGAATAGGAGTAGAGTAGCAGTAGTGTGGGTGTTTTCTCGTACTGTAGTTGCTGCTTCTGGGGCAGAGAGCGACAATCGCCGTGTCGGAGTTGGTGACGATGATGAGGACATGTTTTTCCGAATGAATGAGAGGACTGATTTTTCCAGGTTCAAATCAATCACACCAATGACAATGGCAATGGCAATGGCAATGGCAATGAATGGCAATGTAGATCTACTCAGTTATCATTTTTCTCTCATCGTGGCTGATTCAGTGAGAAGTTGATTTTTTTTTTTTTTCAATGTAATTCAATGCATTGATCTATCTCTTTTTCAATGCAATGGGACTCTTTCTTGTTCTTTCCCTTCTTCTCGCCGTCCTCTCCTCGTCTGGTCCTTTTGGCTTTGACTCGCAGCCCCCTCACACTTGCCCACCTCTCTCTCTCTCTCTCTCTCTCTCTCTCTCTCCCCTTCCACTCCCATTGCGCGACCCGCCGTCAATTTCCCTCCTTCGCTCTCCCCCTCTCTCTCTCTCTCCGCTCCTACTCTTCCCGCCTCACTCCGCGCTCAACCCTTCTCTCACTCTGCTTCGCCCATCTGCCCCAGCTTCTGAAGGGGCGTCCCGCTCGCAGCCAACTCGTGTGTGACTGCACTTTGCGTCATCCAAGCCCCCCTCTCATTCTCATTCTCATTCTTTGGACAGCTCATCCTCTTGTCCCGACACGCCATTCCATTCGTGCTGCACCCGACATTTCACCAGTGCATGCTGCTCCATCCCGACTCGAAACCCTGCAAAAGAACTCGTCCGCTGAGAGCAGCCTTGCAAAATCTAACACCTTCTTTGACTTTTGACAAAGCCATACTTGGAAATGTTTGACAGGTCTGCTCAGAAAATGCTCACTTTTGCTTTGTATGTTTCATACTTGGATTGTGCATCACACCGCCCAGACCCGCAGAGCCCTTTCGGATTTCGTCCGTCTGCTTCGCTTCTACTTTGTCTCCACCTTCAAGCAAACTAACCAAGTCTGAAGCCAGCGCACAAACAAAACAAAGCAAAAGCCCAAACCTCCAAGATCACAAGCAACCGGAAGACTCGCTCTCTACCGCACAGCAAGAGAATTGCTCGTGTCACAATTTCCTATGCAAATGCGACGTTGGACGCCAACTTTGTGCCCTGGGCGCATGGCACTGCCGCTCCTGCTCCTCGCCGTGCTGGGCAGCCTTGTGGCTTGCGTTGGAGCGCAGTCAAGCACTGGTAGCAGCCTGACACCCACTGCGACCGTTGCGCCGCGTTTCTGCGAACCAACCACCAACATGACGGCGCAGTGCAGCAATCGCGGCTCTTGCTCAGCGTCCGGTGCCGCATGCGTTTGCAGCGCGCCATATTTTGGCACAAGATGCGAGTACGGTTGCGATGGCAATCTCCAGCGGTACCCGCTCGTCAACGGCACACGCGGCTTTCTTTCCGATGGCCCTGGGCTCTACTCTGCCAATCTAAACTGCCAGTTTGAGCTGCAGCTCCCCGCAGGCAATCCCGATGTATGTGCTTGTTCATCCGCTTGTTTTGTTTTGCTCTTTTACATTGAGGACTCATTTGTTTGCCTTCTTTTCTGTTTGCTTTGATTGCCTCTCTCTCTCCCTCTCTCTCTCTCTCTCTCTCCCCCCTCTCCCTCTCTCTCTCTCTCCGTTAGGGCCTCGTAATCAGCATACGGGTCACACAAATGGACCTGGAGTGCAGCTGGGACTACCTATTCATCTTTGACGGCCCCAGTGTGCGCTCGCCCATGGTTGCTGCCCTGACTGGCCAGTTGTTTGCAACCCATGACTTTGTCATCCGCTCCGAAGCAGCGCTTTTGACGTTTTACTCGGACTATGGCTATTCTTTGAGTGGCTACAATGTGTCATATCAGGCATCGAGCTGGTGCGTCCGCGTTTTTTTTTTTTTTTGTTTGTTTGTTTGTTTGTTTTTTTCTGAGTATTGGTTGCGCTCGCCGGTTTGGCTTTCTTGACTGCACCACTCACCATCTTCTTTTATACCCAATCTTTGACGTTCCTCAACAGCCCGTTTGCTTGCAGCGACCGGGGCTATTGTGAGGCTGGCCGTTGCTCATGCCCCGCCGGCTGGACTGGCGAGTACTGTGAACTCGAAGTCTGCCCAAACGATTGCAGTGGGAGCGGTACATGCTTTGCTGCTGCACGAACGTGTGTGTGCTTTCCGGGATACACTGGTCGCGACTGCTCCGTGGACATTTCAGCTGGCGGATTTTCGTCGTTGGCAACCAACACGACGTCCCTCGCCAATGTGCCGAATGGCCGTGTCTTCCACTCTGCTGTGCTGATTTCGCCAATGGTGTATATTTTCGGTGGTTTTTCTACCGACTTTACCGTGACAGCCAGACTTTTGCGGTGAGTTTGCCTTCCATCGTTTGGCAGCATGCCGCCCCAAAAAATGCCTGCTTGCTTGTTGCAACCCGTTTGTCTGACTTTGAACATGTCCTTTGCTCGTTCCTTGACTCAGTTTCCGAGTTACCGACCAGTCCTGGTCGTTCATCACCCCAGTCACCGGCTCTGCGCCCAGTGGCCGATACTCTCACTCGGCATTTGCAGTTGGAAACGCCATGTACATCTATGGTGGTATTGATGCCACCAAAGCCTACCTCTCGGAGCTATGGCGATATGACGTGACCGGAAACTCTTGGTCGCTTGTCGTGCCCACATCTGGCACTCTGCAGCAAATTTCTGGCCACACGACGACCGTCTCTGGTCTTAAAGCGATTGTTCTTGGCGGATATTCACCTTTCGGATATGTGCAAACTGTCCAAGAGTATTCTTTCGGTGTGTTTCAATGCCGCTTCCTTTTTGTTTTTTGCAATTGCGTTTGACTCCGCCCCCCCCCCCGCCTTGCCCCTTGAACTCACCATCGTTTCGTCCCCCCCTTTGCACATTGTTTTCTCAGATACCAATACTGTTGCCACATTCACACCGACTGGATTTGCGCCTATTCGCATTTTTGGGCATTCGGCGGTTCTGGATGGCTCTGGCGCCATCTTTGTCTACGGCGGAAGTTCACCAGACAACATGCTGGGCGCCAGTGCTTCGGCTGACCTGTATGCGTACTGGGTGAATGATCGCAGCTGGTCGCTGTTGACTGCTGGGCCGACGCCCTCGTACTTCCACACCGCCATCCTGCTGCCAGGAACAACAACGATGGCCGTGTTCGGAGGGTACGTTTATTCGTATCAGAGCCCTCCGGTCTGCTTCGAGTCGGACACTTTCACGTATGATACAGCGTGTGCGACCTGGAATGCCCAGCCGTCAGGTTTTGCTGGAGGCAGTGCCATTTTCGGCGGCCGCTTTGGCCATGCAACAGTCACATTGAATAATGGCGCTCTGCTCATGTTTGGCGGCTATCGCGGGTGGGTTTTGAGCGATGTCGTCATGCTGTCTCCAGGTGAGATGGCTCGGTTTGTTTTTGCGAGATTTCTGGATTTTGGACATGTTCATTCCCATCGCTCTCTCTCTCTCTCTCTCTCTCTCGCTCCTCTGACTCTACGTGGCTCTTCTTCCACAGCGATTTGTGCAAACTTTAGTGATCCCAACGCCTGCCAGGAGAACTCGGGCTGTGGGTGGTGCGCTTCGACTCTGCAATGCGTTGTCGTCTCAGTGTAAGCCGCTGTTCCAAGATGGGGGGGGGGCGCAGTACCTGTTCCTGCCAATCGTCAATTCTCACACTTGATTCATGCCGAACAACCTGTCGTCTCTTAGAACGCCTTTTTGTCCAGGAACCAGTGTCCGACCAGCGACTGCAACCACGTGCGCTGTAGACGGCTGCATCTTTGCGCACTCGTGCACCACATGCGTGAGCACCTCCAGCAGTGGCGTGCGCTGTCGATGGTGCTCTGACACTGCTACGTGTCGCTCAGCCTCCGCAACATCGTCCTGCGCGATGGTGTCGGATGCATCGTCTTGCTCGGCAGGTGAGTCTCCGCTTGCAATGCCCGATTGTTGCGCGCTCGCCGTCGCTCATTCCAATCGGCCTCTATTTGCTCTATCTGTTCTGCTTTGTCCTTTCGTCTTGAAACAGTGGCTCGCACCACTCCTGTGCCATGCGCCTCCCGTTACGAATGCTCCGAATGCAACAACGATGCCACTTGCATGTGGTCGCTCCCGTACTATGGTGGTGTGACCAAGTGCTCTGCTCGCACCAGCTCAAACGTACGTTCTTTGCTTTCATTGTACTGGACCATTGTTCATTGTGTGTCGTACTTGGTGAGTGCTTATCGCTTGTGCTTTCTCTCCCCCTCTCAGCCTGTTTGCCCATTGCCATGCAGCAGCTTGACCAATTGTGGAGACTGTTTGGACGTGGATGCAGGGGCCTGCTTGTGGTGTACATCGTCGCGGACGTGCGTTGCATCCAAGGACTACGTTGCGTTGAATGCCGTGGGTCAGTGCCAACAGTACCAGTCCGGATCGGGGTTGTATTGCCCCGTTGACTGCGAGTCGCGGCAGTCGTGTTCTAGTTGTCTCGCCGGCTCCGGCTGTGGCTGGTGTGGACTTGACGTTGCCACCGGCACTGGTCGCTGCACGAGTGCGACCTCGGCCTCAAACTGCTCCGCGCAAGCATGGTACTTTTCGCAATGCCCAGCATGTGAGTGCAACGGACATAGCACATGCAGTGCGTCTGGCGACTGTCTGGCGTGTGCCAACCGCACGGGCGGGACGCATTGCGAGTCTTGCCTTGCTGGATACTTTGGAAACGCGCAAAACGGTGGCTCTTGCTCCCAGTGCACCATGCAATTCCACAACATTACTTGCTACTCGTGCGACTCCACGACCGGCGCGTGCACGAATTGCTCAGACTACCGCTCGGGCCCTACCTGTAGTTCCGTGAGTTTTGTGTATTTCTATGTTTTTTCGGGATGTTTTGTCGGGGGTGTTTTTTGGACGTTGCAGTTGCCCCTGGACCATGCCCGTTCCCTCACTTTGCCATCATTCCTCTTTTCAGTGCATGCCTGGCTACTACGAATCCTTCTACACGAAGCAATGCCTGCCATGCAACTGTAACGGGCACAGCTCATCGTGCGACACCGTTTCGGGCCAGTGTCAATCGTGCGACTATGGCTATATGGGCTCGACATGTGGCGAATGTCGCAATGGCTTTGTTGGGAATGCTCGCAATGGAGGGCTGTGCTTTTGTGAGTACAAGGCATTTTTAAATGTTTGCTGGTGGTTTTTTTTTTTTTTTGTTTTTGATTATTTTGCCGTGCTTGTGCTCACAACCCATTGCTCTCACTCTCGCCAAACTCGTCGCATCTATCTTGGCATTCACTGCAGTCCCCATGAGCTCCAACACCAAGTACCAATTCACGGTTGTCTTCCAGACAATCTACTTTGTCTACGAGCCCATCGAAGACGGCGTTGACTTGAGCTTTTCGCTGACTCTGCTGCCCCTCACTCCGGCTCTTCCAGACGTGACTGTAGATCTCTGGGGCCAAACCGGCCCTGATCCCAACAGTATGTATCCCGTTTTTTGCTGGTGCCATTTCGCCAGGAAGCTGCGGGCGATCTGGAACGTTATTGTTATCGTTATCGTGAGCCTTGTTCTGATTTCATTTTGGCCTGCCTTTTTTTTTCTTCCTTGGCATGCAGCTGATCGAATCTACCTCTTGCGCAACCGACGAGTCAACAGCTTCATCCTGAGCATTTCCGACCGGCAGTTTGACATGTCCAACACCGTCTTCTACTTTCACATTTCCACGAACGCAAACATCAACTTTGAGGTTTCGTTCATGCAAGACCCGCCGCCGCTCAACCTCATCCACTTCTTTTTGACGTTTTTCGCGTGCTTTTGCGCCCTTTTGCTGGCCGCGTTCATTGTGTGGCGCATTCGTGTGCGCTTTGAGCACAACCAGTTTGTGCGCGAAATTACGCTGGCCTTCGAGCAAATGTCGACGCGGCCCTCTGCCAGCATCACTCTGTGGGACTTTTGCCAAGCAGACGGTGCACGTGTTGTGCACACAAAGGTGAGAAAACACACGCTTCTTCTTTGCTGACAAAAAGTGTGCGGGTTTGGAGTAAAATGCTCATGGTTTCACCTGCCTCGCTAGACTGTCCCTCTTGCCATTGAGCCGTTCAGAGACGGGAAAGCTGCCGTGATGACGTTTGCTCTGGAAGTTCCAGCCAAGCCAGGAGCTCCCAGACAGGTCTGCCTAGCGTCAGCGCTCATTTCCACTTCCGAAGACCTTGTGGCGTCCGCCCAGATGGACGGCGAGGAAGACGATGGCGAAGACCCGGAACAAGTGAAGAGCGAGAGCCGAAAGTTGGGCGCAAGGGTGCGCCGTCGCTTCCAAAGGTTTAGGCATCGCGATGATCGGGCTGCACCAACAACGGAGGCTTCCCGCGATGTGCCTGCACCTGCAGGGGCCGAGTCTATTGAAATGTCCGATTTGCCTCCACGCACGGCGCGGGACACGTCCGAGTAGCGAATGCCCGCTTCGAGTGATCTTCACTTGCGACTTTCTACCTAGTGTGTGTAATTGTGTGTGTCTTATTACTGGATTGGGTTTTGTGTGTGTGTGTGTGTGTGCGTGTGTGTGTGTGCGTTGTTTCGTTGTGTGGAAATGCTCATAGTTATCGAATTGTACTTTTTTTTTCTGCCGTACTGTATGGGGAAATGTGTGTCGTCCCCTATCTTCAATCAAAAAGCACCCAACAACCCGAGGTCATTTCAGTTCTTGGTCATGGTCGCAGAAATGGGATTTCCGCCTGCATGGTCTGCTTGGAGGGATTGTCGGCGATGGGAGACAGCGGTTCGGTCAGGAAGGCGGCAATCGCGCACCGAAGGTACGACTCCAACCGAATGCGGCGCCTCTCGACAAAGTCGGGGTTGCGGTGGCCGATGGTTTTGCGTGGCGGAAACATAATCTTGACGCCGGACGGGAATTTGGAACGAATGGCTAAATGGAACTCGCGAAACTGCGAGTAGCGGCGCTGCAAGTCCCAGACGTTGTCGCCAACACGAATGCGAACAATGTAAAAGTGGAAACGGCTTTCCTTGTGGTCGCTGCCGACCTCGATCTTCTCGACTGCCTGCGGGATGGAAATGTAGACAGAGCAACGCTCCAAGACCGAGATGGCAGCAGCTTCCACAACTTGCTCATCTTTGGAGGAAGCAGACACTGTTGCTGTTGCGGATGCTGGTGCTGGTGATGCTGGTGCTGTCGCAGCATGGGATCCGGAATCGGCACGTGGGCGCTCCAGCAAGGCTGCTGCGGAAGTCGCACCAACCCCGGCCGACGATGATGCAGCTCCTCGATTCCGCAACTCTCCAACGCGCTGCTCCAGATTTTGAGTCAGCTGCAGGATTTGCTCGTGTTCGAGCGTTCGCTCGGCTTTTAGTTTGCTCTGGCGCAGCTCTAGCTTGTGTAGCATCTCCGCAAGCAAGGCGCGATCGGTCTCTGCAACGCGAGAGTTGCGCCGGTCTGTCGGAGAGGCGAGGGCCTGGTCGAGTGCGGCCAGCTGGGCTTTGGCATCCTCGAGCTGCTGCGTCACGGCTTGCAACTCTGACACGCGGGAAAAGGATGGCTGTGCGGGGGTGAGCGGTGGCGGCAGAGATTGGAGTCCGTCGTCTGTTGGTGAGCCGCCCTCTGCCTGAGCTTGCTGGATTTCAAACAGGCGAAACCGAAGCTGCACCAATTCGTGCATCAGTTGCTCGCCTTCATCGGCCGGCAAATCGGATTGCTCTGCAGCCAGTTGGCTACACAATCCATCGATCTTGTTTTGGATGAGATCGGCCACGTCGCTCGAGCTCATGTCGTTTGCGTGTTCTGCAGTCGCAGATGGCTCGACGGTGGGTGGAGCATGACCCTCGGAAGTTGTGAGCGTCGAGGCAGCCAGCGAATCAACCTCCTCAGCTAGCACAGGTTCGCCATCCAACTCTGGGGCTGCACTGGTGTTTTGATGACTGGTGCCCAACTGACTGACAGTGGAATCGGTAGCTGAGGGTAAGACTGCGTCCGCGGGGAGTTCAGAAGATGCCACCGCAGGTGCGCTGGCGCTCTCATCGACCGCGACAGTAGTATTGACAATGTGCTGCGACAACACCGAGCTTTCATCTACTTGATGCAAAAGCTCGATGAGCGACGAGGTGTCGAGCAAGTCATGGTGTTGGGCTGGAACGTTCGTGTCGACCGTCTCAGTGGATACTTGCAGCTCTTCCGGCCGACTAATAGCAGCAGCAGCAGCAGCAAGGCTCGAAACAGCCACATCCTGCACGTCGCCGGAGGGCAAAACGACGTCCTCCGCGCCCGATGGCTGCTGAACATCTATCAGCATGTGATCGTCGCTGAGGAGTAATGAATCGGATGTGGCAACGCTCCCTTCAACCTCGGGCGCAAGTTCGCCGTCGAGGGTCATGCTCAAGCTCTGGCTGCGCTGCCCTTCGGCATCGGCATCGGCATCGGCATCGGCATCGGCATGGGCTTGCTCGAGCTGCTCGTGCTGCTCGTCGGCGTCGTCTAACGAGACCTCGTCGTCTCCAAGTAGAGTTGTGTCTCCCTCCGTGTACGCGGAAGACGTTCCATCACGCACAACAGGACTGTCATTCGTCGCCTCGATCGTCGATGACGGCTCTTCTTCGAATTCATCCTCCAACTCCTTCGAGAAGGCATCATCATCATCAATGAGATCCAGGCTTTCGTCCAGCAAATTCATGTCGTCCCCAAAGGAAGATGACATGAGATTCAGGTGCTCGGTGCTCTCGGCGTGCTGCTGCAGGTCAACCACAGAGTCGGCGCGCGCTCGATCGGTCGTAGTACTCTTTGGCAAATCGAGCATCGACTCGGCGCGAGCTCGTCGAATGAGCTCTGCCGAAATGGTCGGAAACAAGCTTCCAGCCTCGTCGAATGGCATTGGAGGCAAGTAGTTTGGGTTGCGATGCCGCTCCGCCTCCAGCTCAAAGTCGCCTGGTTCGGACGGAGAAAAGTCGATCTGAGGCAGTGCTTGAGGTGCTTGTTCAGCTCCAACCGCGGAGGTCAAAGAAGAAGCAGAAGAAGAAGCAGCGTCGCGCATCGGAGAGGTACTCGCGTGCTGAACTGAAACTGCTGGCTTGCTTGGTGTGGATGGTTCAGGGATTGAAGAGGCGGGGCTTTGCAATCCCAAAACTGACGACTGAGGGCCTGGCGAGTTTGGCTGCGAGCTACCGCTGACGGAGGCGCTGGACGCTGCCAAAGCAGGAAGATTGCCGCTAAGGGATCGGCTGCTGTCCCGCCTTGGAGACATGAGCGACCGCACAGTCGGGCGTAAAGCGCCAGTCTTTTTGAGTTTAGCGGCTTCGATTGGGTTGTTAAACCGCCATAAGTAAGACTCGCCGAGTTCGACAGTGTCACCTGTCGGAAGTGAGAAACAGAGGAGGGTTTTTTTGTTGTTGTGTTTTTTTTGTTTTTCAAGGGCGCAGCGAAGTCAGACGAAAAAGTGCAAACCAAAGAGCAAAACAAACAGACAGATTGCTGCTGCAACGCAACTCATACCTTGGTGCAGCTCGGTGGGCTCAGTCACCTGGTTGCCGTTGACAAAACACATTTCAGAGACCGGATGGAGCGTCACCGTGTCCGTCTCAGCAGCAATATAGCAGTGGTCGCGATCAATCCCTACACCGTCCAGAAGAATTACAGCTGCAGGATTCATTCCTTCCGGGTTTTGAGGCATGTCGGAGGGGAAGAGGGCGTCTTCTGCCGGCACGTCGTCCCCAGAGGACGGCGTACCCGAAGTAACGGCGGCTGATGAGGATCTTACGCGCATGGCGCCCCACCGAACGTGAGTGATTCCCGGGGAGAGCGTGTACAAGGTGACTCCGGTCGAAAGCGGGTTGTCATTCAAGCTGACAAAGTGCGGTGCTTCAGATTCTACCCGCAAGGCCAAGCCGTACTCTTTCACGGCAAGATCGCGATCGACCAGAACCTTTTCAGTCCGGCTGAGGCGATCCTGCCAGGAGGTAGTCATTTCCGCCACCAAGGCTTCTGAACGAGCAATCTTCTTGAGCAGCGGTGTTGGCGGCGCACTTGCAGCAGTGGTTGTCGCCGCAGCTGCCGCAGCTATGGCAGCTGGAGAGGATAGCGCTGCAGCTGCGCTGGCGGAATCAAACGCTCCGTGCTGGCCTGTTGACCCCAGGGCATTTTTCAGCAATGCAATTTCGGCTCGGAGTTCACGGATGAGCCTCAGATTCGCGTCCTAGTCGCGTCCAAAAGGTCACAATGCAAGGAATAGTGGTTTGGGAGCACGACAAAGAAGACCAACAGTGAGCTTTGGAACACCAGACGAGTCAAAAAAGCGGCATGACGGGTGTTGGCGAAAAAGAAAAAAAAATAGCGTACCTCGTTGACAACAGCGTGGTTGATAATCTTCTTGGCACTACTTGCATAGCGCAAAGTGCTTACAGTCTCTTCGAAATTATGACTGGCAGGAGAAATGGCTGACAGAAATGCAAACACATCAGTCTCGCTCATTAATTCATTCACTCTCTCTCTCTCTCTCTCTCTTTCTCTCTCTCTCTCTCTCTCTCTCTCTCTCTCTCTCTCTCTCTCTCTCTCTCTCTCTCTCTCTCTCTCTCTCTCTCTCTCTTTTTCTCTCTCTCTCTCTCTCTCTCTCTCTCTCCCCCCTCTCAAGCCTGGCGTGATTGCGCTCGACTGTTACCTGCTAAAATGACGGTTTTGGAATTGCCACCGAGACTGTCCTTGAGAAGCCAGGTGAGAATTGAGTCGCGATAGGGAATAAAGGCGTCGTTTTGGGCGCCGCCTTTCTCGCCGAGCGCTGAAATCACAGTGCCGAGTGTGGTGAGCGACTTGTTAATGTTGGCGCCCTCTTTTAGACGAGCGCCCGTGGCGAGCGACGCTTTCGCCCGCTCGCTGCCGGCCAAATCCACAAGATTGACCTTGCTAACCGTTTCAAACGCAGTGTCGACATCGCCCGAAAACCGCGTCTGTGTGAAGGCGATGGTGAAGATGGCGTGCGAGCGACTGCTCTGCTCGTTCATGCGGGTTGCTCCGGTGGTCCGATGCTGATTGCCTTGCGCAAGCAGGCGTTCAATGTCCGCATAGCTGGTGACGACGTGCCGAGCCACGTCCTCAACGTAAGGACCAAGCACGGGATGTTCGCGCACGCGTCGCGTCATTGTCGTGTTTGTACCGAGCAAATCACGCACAGTTTCGTTGTAGATTTCAATGTAGCACACCTCGACCCGGTAGCTCAGATTCTCGTCGCGAACCGAGTTTTGAATCATTCGGCTAAACATGTCGCGGCACAGGCGCGGCACAATACCGGGCTCATCCGTGTCGCCCATCATGGAGAATGTCTTGCCTGCGCCGGTCTGTCCGTAGGCCATAATGCACGCGTTGTAGCCGGCGAACGCGTTGTCCAGCACGTCGCGGCCAATGTCGTCGTAGACTGCCTGCTGCGTCATGAACGCCGGGTCTTGCGGCTGGACGGACCAGTAGCACTTGTCGAATGTAAAGTACTTTGGCTTTCGCTCATGCTCGTTCCTGGGCGCCGGGTTTACGATTCGGACTTGGTTTGCAGCAAACTCAATGACAATGCGCGAATTGAGGTCTCGCTCGCGTGCATTGAGCGGTCTTGCGCGCACGACGACCTTGACGCTGGACATTTTTTGTTATTTCTTGCTCCAGGCTTTTGCTTGGTTTTTTCTTGTTTGTCTTGTGCTTCGAGTGGAAGGTTTGTGTTTGTCGATAGCTTTGAGGGAGTGAGAATTGGAGAGAGACTGGCGATTGAGTTGAGAGACGAGGCTGACTTCTTGTTCCGCTCTGCAACAACAACAACAACAAAAAGGATCCAGAATCAGCAAAGCTTTGTGAAGCGAAGTGAGAGTCGAGTGAGAGTGAAGTGAGTGTGGAGAAGCAAACCAAAAGCCGATCGCCCAGTCGCCGAAGGGGGGGGGTGTCTCTTCCCCACCGCAGAGGGAGGACGAAGACGGGGGATGGAAGGACGAGTGATTGAGTAGTTCAAAGCAGAAGGACGAGAGAGAGCCAGAGCCAAAGAGAGAGAGAGAGAGAGTAACGAAATCAAAAAGGGTTTTGCTTTGAATTTCAAAAAGTTCAGCTTACCGTTGCAATGGAAAACACAACCAAAAAGACTGGAGTCAAAACCAGTACATGCAAAACCATTGCTCGACAAGATCACAGACGAGATTCGGATGATCATGTTGTGTATTGATGACTGTTCTAAAGCAGAACGATGAACAGACGGCAACAGCAATAACACCAACAAGAACCAAAAGAAAAAAAAAAAAAAAAAGCAGCAAACAACCAGCAAACGCGTTGGTCGCCTGGCATCGAAATAAATTAGTCTCCAATTCATTGACTTGTACTCTCACAGGAGGGCGAGTCGGTTTTGGAGAAGGCCCTTTCTGGTGGACTGAACTGATAAAGAAAAAAAGTTCTGAAAAATGGCTTGAAAAAAAAAAAGCTTCTCGCTGAACCAGCAGCGGACACTTTCATTCTCAAAATGCTCCCGTGCATCACTGCTACGACGCTCGAGTATCATCCGAACAGGCGCCGTGAGCTAGCAACAGCTGCACGCAGCGCAGCGCGTCGGGGGACGGCGGAAGTGCTGCAGTCGAGAGACTCACGGCAAACATTAACGGCGACTCTCCGGAAGGCGCCCCGAGATTGGGATTGGCGCCCGCCTTGAGCAGCAGCTCGACCGCGTCGGAGGAACCAATGCTGAGCGCGCGAAATAATGGCTTGTGGTCCATGGCCTGAATTTGCTCCTTGCGGACGTGCTGCAAGAGACTTTTGAGCGCAGCCAGTGCCGCCTCGCCTCGCTGGCCCGCAAAGTAACCCAGCGGTGACTGGTTGTCGAGTGTATAGTGAATGTCGTGCAGCCGCGAGCCTGCCCGGATCAATTCGGCGAGAATTTCGTTGCTGGCGCTCGAATGAACGGCGACAAGGAGCGGAGACATGTTGTACTGGTCGAGCAAGTTGACGTTTGCCCCCTTGGCAATCAATGCGGCGACGAGCCTCATCTGGTTGTGCTGAACGGCCAAGTGGAGCAATGTCTGTCGCTTTGCAAATACGCCTCGCGGGTTGGCTCCCGCGGCAACCCACTCGAGCGCATCGTCAATCCATCCGTGCTTGATGGCGTGCATGACAGCCCATGCACCAACATCCGGCGATCCGAGCAGCGCAGTCCGGGCGCCTCGCGCGAGCAGCAACTGAACGGTCTCGCGCGCACCCGCCTCGCACGCCAATGCCACCGCGCTAATTTGTGGCGGTTCCGTGCTCTTGTCGCATGGATTTGCGCCTGCGTCCAGCAGCGCCTGCACGGATGGGAGCGTGCCCGTCTTGCACGCCCAGAGCAGCGCCGACCAGCCGTTGCGCGATCTCCTTCGCAGGTAGTCCGGGCACTTTTTGCTGCTATTGGCAGAGCTTTCTTGTGGTTGTTGTTGCTGCTGGTCCGTGATGGCCTGGTGCGCCCTGAGGATGAGTGTCAGGACGCGAGCGTCGTGCTGCCCTTGAGCGGCTGCCAGCGGGGACCCGGCAACAGCGCGCCCGACTGCCGCGAGCATGAGCGGCGTGCGACCGGTCGCGTCCGTTGCGCCGAGCATGTCAGCAGCAGACGCAGTGCTTGGACTTGTGGTCGTGGTTGTGGTAGTGGTAGTGGTAGTGGTAGTGGTGGGGGCTGCTGCTGCTGCGACCGTCATCACTTCAACTGCTCCTGCTCCTGCTGCCGCTCCTCCAGTCAACCCAGCCTGCAATAGTAGCGCCTCGATGCGCGCAGTATCGCCAGCCTGCACTGCTTGGATGAGCGACATTTTGTTGGTGGTGGGTTTGATTGCTGCTCGTATTGGTGTATTGCTAACTGGCTGCGTACAGCAAGATAAGATTGGATGCTTTGTTTGATGTGTGGAGGCGGATTGAATTTGTGGACTGCAATGCAGCAGGATCAGATCGGATGAACAGTGTCCAACAAGTCATACTGACATTGCTACTTCCGGCGTTGTTGCATTGGAGTGAAAGTGAAGCGGCGAGTCAATCGCGTTCATTCATTCTCAGACCTTCCCAATGCCAAAAGCAATCATTGCGCACTCTCCCCCGGCTCTCCATTCCAACTCGCATCGTATTCAGATTGTTTTGACTTCCAGTTATTATGTGCGAGCGATCGTGTGATGACAGCTCGTTCCTTCTTTCATTCATTCATTCTCAGACCTTCCCAATGCCAAAAGCAATCATTGCGCACTCTCCCCCGGCTCTCCATTCCAACTCGCATCGTATTCAGATTGTTTTGACTTCCAGTTATTATGTGCGAGCGATCGTGTGATGACAGCTCGTTCCTTCTTTCATTCATTCATTCTCAGACCTTCCCAATGCCAAAAGCAATCATTGCGCACTCTCCCCCGGCTCTCCATTCCAACTCGCATCGTATTCAGATTGTTTTGACTTCCAGTTATTATGTGCGAGCGATCGTGTGATGACAGCTCGTTCCTTCTTTCATTCATTCATTCTCAGACCTTCCCAATGCCAAAAGCAATCATTGCGCGCACTCGCACCCGGCTCTCCATTCCAACTCGCATCGTATTCAGATTGTTTTGACTTCCAGTTATTCTGTGCAAGCGATCGTGCAATGACATTCTTGCATTCATTCATTCTCAGACCTTCCCAATGCCAAAAGCAATCTTCAACCTTTTCGTTCGCTTTGCTTTTCTCTTCGTTTTCTCTCTTCTCTCTTCTTGTCCTGTTTTACTGTTTTATTTTGACTTGATGCATGGGTGTTTTTTTTCATCAATCATTTTCACTATTATTATTATTATTATTATTCTTTTTTCTCAGTCTCTGTTTTTTTGTTTTTTGAATAACTTTTGGTCTTCTTTTCCAACCAATGGCTGCGTCTGGCGCTTCTGCTTTGTCCCAGCAGCACGACTTTACAGAAGGCAATGCATCCTCAATGGGACCACCGCTTTCCCTCTCTCTCTCTCTCTCTCTCTTCCCTCTTCAGGACGGACAAAGCCACGACGAACGGGGGCGCGAGTGTTGGAGTTCTGTTGCATTGTGATGGTGGTTGGTGGTGCGGAAGAAAAATGAAAAAGGCGGCGGCGACCCTGCGAACAAGCAAACCACTGCGTGCGTGCTGCGTATGAGGCAGTTTTTTGGTCGGTTTTTTGATTCAGAGGAGCAAGTCTGCCGCAGCTCCATTCAAAGTTGGAAGGTGGGGAGGGGGCAGGAGCACACAGAGAAGCGAGAGTCGCGGCATGACTGACATGACACGCGTGGTTGTCGCTGTCTCATGTCTGTCTGGGTCATCATCACCCTGCAGTCCCTTCTTCGCTTTCGTCCTTCTTTCTTCGCCGTAAAATATCGCAATGCATTCTTCGAATCAAATGCATTCAAAATAACAAAGTCTGGCCGAAAAGACAAAGAGTTTGGGGAAAAGACAAAAGACAATTGGGGAAAAAAACGGCAGCCCTTCAAAAAAAAAAAAAAAAAAAGTCGCCGCCTTTTCTTCTCTTTTCTTTGAATAATTCGCATTTCTCATCGCGGATTGCGGCTTTTGTTTGTTTCTTCGCTCGTCTTGCTCGACACGCCGTCGCATGACAATGCACAGCTGCACAACAATGCAATGCTGACTGATGCGAACAAGAAAAAAAGGCAACAAAGAATGATCGCGTGGAAAAAAAAAAAAGCACGGAAAATAAAATAAAATAAAATATAAAATAAAATAAAATAAAAAGAAAAGAAATGCCGAGCCGAAAACCCCGAAAAAAAAAAAAAAAAAAAGAGACAAACAACAGAGCACTCTGCATCGGAGAATGGAGACAAAGGCAGTTTGTATATGCATATGATGAACAACACAAACAACAAAACGGAGGCGGAGGAGGCGGCGGCACCCACTTTGGAAGTGTCAAATTCACACATCATACCTGTAGTATACTCACTTACGTCCGTCATCCCTTCCCCCCCCCTTTTCTGACCTGACGCAAACAGGCCTCAACGACAAGGAGCGAGAGGCATTCCAGATCCTGCAGACACTCGTCCGCTCGGGACGGCTCCCACCCCAGGTCGATCTGACTGGCGCACCAGTCGCATCCGCCGCAGCAGGAAGCAGCAAGGACAAGAACGCCAAGCAGCAAGAGCAGGACGTCGTCCTCACTGAACAAGTACGTTTGTCCGTCCAGTCAGCTTTTGAACATGAGGAGGATGTGTGGTGATGGTGGGTGGGTGGTGGTGGGTGGTGGTGTGACTGTCACCCACCTTCCCTTCCTTTCGACTATGATGACTCACACATGGCTTGTTCCTTTCCACTCTTCCCAGGACATCAAGTTTATCGACCAGGCATGCATCCTCCGGTACCTGCGTGCGCGTAACTTTCATGTGCCAAAATCTGCTCGCATGTTGAGAGAATCGGTAGAGTGGCGCAACTCGCAGGGCGTATACAAGCTGTCCATCACAACCCATCCGTTCATCGAGACCTCGTTGGCGCGCGCCAACATGTACATGAACGGCCGCGACAAGGGCGGACGACCCATCATTGTGCTGCGCCCCAACATTTACCACGACCCCCACTCGAGCGAGGAAAAGCTCTTCTTTATGTGCTATGCCCTGGAGCAGGCCTTCCGCACCATGGAGCCCCACATTTACCAAATGACCTGGGTGTGCTCACTGGACGGCTACTCGATGAAGCACAACGGCGACCTCAAGTTTGCTCGTGAGCTCCTCAACATGCTGCAAAACCACAACCCCGAGCGCCTCGGCCAGGCATTCTTCCTTGATGTTCCATTCCTCTTCCGCGCAGCATGGAAGGCCATGAGCCCGTTCATTGACGAAAAGACCAAAAGCAAGGTCCACTTTGTCGCAAACTCGAATCGCACTGAATATCTCGCAAAGTACATTGATCTCGACGTGCTCGAGGCCTGCTTTGGTGGAACCAACCGATTCCAAATCGATCACCACCAGTACGTCAAGAAGATGCTCGATCTTGAAGGCGTCGACCACTCGACATTCAAATCGACCTTTGGCACCGAAGCCCCTCCCAAGCCGCGGTATTCCAAGACTGCCACCAATGACATTGACCCAGCCGAGGCCGCCGCTGCCCGCGCCAATCTTGAGAAGGACGCCCCGGACGCTGCTGCTGAAGCCGAGGCCGATGCCGCCGCCGCTTCGGCCGAGTAATTCAAAAGAAAACAACAACAAAAACCAAGAATGTTTGGTCTTTGAGCCATGTGGTTTTATTGGCCAACACAAACGAGCTCTTCAACAGCTGAATGTCACTTTAATAAAAATCAATGCCTGCTTACTTTTTTTTTTTTTTTTTTTTGCTTCCATCTATACCCGTCTCTGTCTCGCACAAAAGCATCCACGTCCGTGGTCTCACACCAATAGCCTTCAACGGCTGCGCTCGATAACAAGGAACAATTTGTATTGGATGTGGATGGAAACACACAAAGCAAAAGGTAATTGTTCCAATGAAATCAATCATTCAATGCATCGCTCAACCCTTTAGGTGGAGAGGGCAAAGCCGACACGCTTGTTGGCCATGTCGAAGTGAGTGTAGTAGACGCCCATGAAGACATCACCGAGAATGTACAGGGGACCAAGCGGCGCTGTTCCAAACAAAAACAACAATGTCCATTTCGTGAGCAAAAATTTTCAGCACAATCGACAAAATTCACAAAGATTAATCAACACCAAACAAAACCAAAAAAAAAAAACTTACGGGGAACATCGAGGCCAATGAAGCCCGAAATGCACTCGCTCTGGCCCTCCGAGGTGACCTCGAGAACGTACTGCTTGGGGGTGAGGGGGAAGGACTTGCCGCCGAGGACGAACGAGATGGTGGGCATAGTGTCGAGCTTGGTGCAGTCAACGAGGCTCTCACCGTCGGGGGAAGGGAGGCGGTTGCACTGGCCCTCGAGGGCGGCCTCGATGGCAGCCTGGGTGCGGTTGTTGCCGAGCTCGGCATCGAGAGCGGTGATGAGCAGCTTGCAAGTGTAGCACGAGGTGGAGGCGTTGGCCTTGCACGAGCCAATCTCCTTGCAAATGGTGACGGGGTCGAGGCGCTGGACGAGGCCCTCGACAATGATGGGCTCGTACTGCTCGATAATCATGTCGCACTCCTCGGCGAGGATGCCGATGGCGCCAATCTGGGCGTTGATCTTCTTGACGTCGGCGACGGGGCCAGCGAGGAGGGACGTGCCAGAGTCAGCAATGCCCTGGGTGTTGGCGCCAAAGGTGGTCGAGCCGACCTGGACAGAGTCGAGGGCGAACTGCCAGTAGCCGGGCTTGCTGACGGGAATGTAGGTGAAGGCACCAGTGTAGTGGCTGGGGTCGACACCACCGAGGACGAGCTCGCCGCCGGGCTTGAGGATGGAGGTGCCGTTGCGGCTGAGCCAGAAGGCGAACGAGGCCGAGTTGAGCAGGCCCTGGGCGACCATGTTGTAGAAGACGGGGACAACGTTCAGGACGGAGATTTCCTGGAAGCCGAGGCCGAGCAGGCCGTCAAAGCGAGCAAGGACGAAAGCAAGGCCGGGCTCGTTGGTGGCCTCAGCAAAGACCTGGTTGGTGACCTTGAGGCCGGCGACGGTGAAGGTGTCTTGCGACAGGTAGCCCGTGAGCGAGCCAGAGCCGTACTGGATGGCAAAGGTGGTGCCGTTGGCAACGTAGGTGCTCGACTTTTCAGAGTGGTACTTTTTGTGGAGGTCGCAGGGCAGGTCGGTGATCTTGCAAGTGGCCGAGGGGACCCACGCGTTGGACGAGCCAGTGTCGAAGACGACCTTGAACTTTTGCGGCGGGGTTCCGATCTCGATTTCACCGTAGTACTAGTTTTTTTTTTTGGAAAGAGTGGAGAAGCGAGAAGCAAACAAAGTGAGAACAGCGTCAATAATGACTGCCACAAAAAAAAAAAAACGAGTCACCGTCCGTTGACTCTGGCCTACCTGAGCATTCTCAAAGTTGCCGAGGTTGACGGCGGGGTTTGCGCCGAGCGAGCGGCGGTTGGGGTTGATGGCGGCGGGCGCCTTCGAGATGGCGACCCTGCACAATAAAAAAAAAAGCCAAGCCAAGACAGACAAGTGATGGTGAGTGATTTGATATCGAATGAGGCATGTTCGGGATGGATTGGTCGGAGGGTCGGAGGGTCGGGGGGGGGTTTTGTGAGAGTGGTAAAGTTCCGAGTTCTCGCTCGCTGAGATTGAACTCGCTGAGATTGAAGATTGAAATGGGAAAAAAAGTCTCCTTTTGTTTTTTTCTACTTTTGCTTTTGTTTTTTCTACTTTTGCTTTTGTTGATTCTTTTCGTTTTTTTCTTATCGTCACGTTTGGCAACAAAAAAATCAAGCAATCAATGAAATGAAATGAAATGAAATGAAATGAAATGAAATATTGGAAGAAAGAGAAAAAAGAAAAAAAAAAAAAAAGGAGTCAGCGATAAAATCAATCATCATGTTCACTGAGTTTGGATTGCACTGAATCGGACTTGCTGTGAGGCGTCTCTCTCTCTCTCTGATCTCTCTCTTATATTGTGATGTGAGTGTGTGCGCGTCGGTCGCTTCTTCACTCGTCCAGTTTTGATCAAAAAAAAAAAAAAAAGAAGGAAAAAAAAAAAGGGAAAAAAATGCAATGAAAAACGCGACACACATGCTGCGACTCAAGCCAGAGCCGACAGTGACTGAGAGTGTGAGTGTGAGTGTGAGTGAGTGAGTGAGTGAGTGAGTGAATAGAGAGAGACACACATGCAGTGTCACTCAGTCAACTCGCTCTGCATCAAACACAAAAAGGAAGAACAAAACAAAAAAAAAAAAAAAAAAAAAAAATGGGCAATCAACAAGGACAGCGCGGCACCTGACCAAAGCCAGCCAGCCACGCTGACAGGTGACCGCGACCGATGAGATCGAATGAGTGAGTCGAATGAGTGGAATGAGTGAATGAGTGAGGGATGGTGGTGGTGGGGTGGACGACGCGGCGGTTACTTGACGACGCCGGGAGCAACGGGAATGGCCGCGGAAAGCGCGACCAAGCCGAGCAGAGCGACAGCCACAAAGGCAGTGAAACGCATTGGAAAGAGGAAGGGGAAAAGAAAGGAAGACTGCTGCTGTCCGAATGCAAACAACACTTTGGACAAAAACGAGTGAGACGTGGAAGAAAAGATGTTTGATGCGATTCGTAAGGCTGTTGGAAATGGAGGGAGCATTGGCGGAATCGAAAGCGGCAAAATCACAAACAGCAGCGAGTTTTGCAGTTGACGATCGCAAAGTGCTCAGTGTTTGCTTATGACGCTTGGAAGCTACGATCGAGCAAAAGCTGTATAAAAATGAGCTGTCTGATGCCCTTCTAAGTGGGAACCGAGTGAGTGTCAAAGCAACGGCTCATTTTCGGTCAATTCTCGCGTTTTTCGTCCGCTTTCGCAAGCCTCACGATCCTTGTCTTTGCAATTGTTCCCTTTTTTTCTTGAGAAAAGGTTGCTCTGCGTCATACGCAGGTTTGGCGAGCAAATCCATTGTTAAACTTTGGCGAAAATGTTGGTGACGGAAACAAATTCTCACCGAAACAACAAGGTCGAAAAAAGCAAGTGTTGCTCCGAGCTGGTACCTGCGTACTGACTGCCGAGTGCGACATTTCGTGGAAAATATATCTTGCTACATTGTAATATATGCTGCGGCTGGAAAATACGGGGGGAATGCTGGATATCAGGGATCGGGAAAACGCATGATCAAAATTTGAGTGATTCGCCTTCGTTTTTCATTGCCATTTCACAATAAAGTTCAAGTCTGAGCTGTATTTTGCATATTTGTATTGTTGCTTTTGGTGAATTCAGACTATGTGACGATCGATGCCAGATGATGTAGTTTGAGGCAATGCTTTGAATGTTTTCATTTGGACCATGCGGTACGGGCGTGAAAACTCAAACTCGACGCCATGTCCCTCTGTCATCGATGATATCGTGCACTAATATCTCATACTGACCAGCAAACAAACTACATTGTTTGCAAGAAGAATCAGAACCGACCAGCATCAAGAATGGCCTTTCTCGAGCAAAGTCACCTGGAGCTGCTCACGCCGTCTGCCTTCGAGAATTGACTTGCCCCATCAAGTTATCAAGTTGCGCAATTCCCCCCTTCCAAAAATATCATCCACTTTTCCAACCTTCTCGCTGTCTCAGTCTCGCTTTTTGGTTGCAATTGAAATTTCGTGGTAAAGCGTGCATTTATTTTTTGGCGCCAATCCTCGCTTCAGACACCATTTCGCTCGTTCTCAATCTCCCGCTCGCCCACACACTCTCCCGCGACCTCTCTTCCACTCCAGTGAGTTCCATCAGGCGCATTCATCTCCGAGTGAGAAACGCAGACTCGCTCGGTTGTGCACAGCGGCGCATCGGTCGCTTGATGCATTTGGCAACCAGTTTTCCCGCCAAATTTTCTGTCGCGCGGTCGTTTTCGTTTGCTGTGCCATTCCGCTCGATGTTCCACGCCTCGCCGTGCTCGATCGGTCGCTGTTCGATCATACACACATTCCTTCGCAAGCTGATCCTGGGATGGCGGCGGGGACTGATGGCTGATGACTGAGTGCCTATTGCCAACTGCATTTCCGCGTTTTTGCCGCTCGTTTTGCTCTCTGCTCTGCAATGACTCACATCCGAATCTTTGCTTCTCATACGCTTGCATGTAGATTTCTTGCCTCGTTACTACTCCTCGAAACACAAGAAACATCAAAATTCTCAGATCCAGAATTCCTGAATCACAACAATGACCGCCAGCTCCAAACAGCCACTGCGCCGGAGTTTGCGAACGCGCCGCGAGCCAATTCGTCATGGATTTACAAGCGAATTGCAGCGTCAAGCTACGCCAAATACCTCCGTGTTGCTGGCAAGTCACGTTCGGCAATCCGGATTAGTTCGTCACACCCGCCTCCAACCTCAGCGGCTATCGTTCGCCGAAGAGGAAGCAGTTGTTCAAGCCGACTTGGACAGCAATTCTGGGCAAGATGAGAATAGCAGCTACCATTTACATGGCCAGAGCTCTGGCTTCCGACCTGCTCGCGGGCGACCGATGATGCAAGCAGAACCCCACACGACCACCGACGATTGGGCGACACGCTTGGCGTTCGCTCGCGAATTAAACCTTGATGGTGAAGATCAACCTTCTGATGAGACCACAGAGCCCACTCAACCTCATGGCTCGTCGTCGCTCGATTCACCCTTCGTCGATGCATCAGAACAAACCGACCTGGACGAAGCGACATCGCCTGGCGAGTCCTCTTCGACAGACATTGACAACTTGGATGACTTTGATGCAGAGTCCGAGCTGAATGCTTACCACGAGTCAGAGTTTATTGATGTGGAGGAGCACAGCAGCAGCGGGGAGGACGACGATGAGCACTGGTGGAGCCGGTTCCAACCCGAGGCGGCCCGCCCCGTTTTCACCCCTCTCAAGCACACATTCAAACCTCCTGCTGGTGGTCTCCCGGGCCGCACCTCTCGCTTGAGCGACAGGCTTTACATTGCACAACAGCCTTCGTGGCTGCCGCATCCAATGTCTGCTTCTCGCAGCACCCATTTCACCGACGAGGCACGCTCGCCTCTTTCCGAGCACGCTGCTATCGTTGACTTGTCGCTGAATAAGCTTCGCACGATAGCACCTGGGCGTGGGTGCTTGCATCGTCCACTGCTCATCGGAAATCTGGTGGCGGACTTGCAACACCGCGCCCGCGACTGGTACAGCACGGCTCTTGAAGAGACCGGCAGTGCCAGCGACGCGTGTCTGATGGATGGCGAGGCTCAATCCTTTTGCAAAAAGGCGAGGCTGATGACACATCAGGTGCCAACCGACGCTTCCCTCGATCGCGACGTGCCGCGCGCAGAGACAATGCAACGTCACTTTTGCCATCAAGTCAATCGCAATCCATCGTCATCGGACCTTGACGACGACAACGACGACGAGACTATCGCTGACAGCGACGACGAAGAAGAGTTGGAGTTTCAAGCCGTGTTTGGCCCGCCTCTGCAAGTTCCCAGCATCATCTCGCGCTCGTCTTCGTCGGTGCTCGCTCGATTGGCTGCCGAGCGGTCGAGCCGAGGCGCTTCTGCTGAGACCCATGTTGCGACGCCCCTCTCGCCACCTTCGTCCTTGGCTGATAGCGACTTTTCCGACTCGATTCCCAGCGACGATTCGGCGGACTCTGGATTGCCTTCGGATCCAGATCACGGCATCGAGTTTTCTGCTCTAAATCACCCAATGTGCGAGGAATCGATTCTTTCGTCCGACACTGATTGCATCATGCAACAGGTCGAGGCGCTTCCTGCCAAGGTCGTGGCAATTGTCAACAACGCGGCTGACGAGGCAGATCTCGATCTCGACGCCAGGCGTGAGCTGTTGGAGCTCAGGTCACTGTCCAAATTGCTGCCTGCTCAGGATCTGGAAATGATGCGTGACATTGACAATGCACCCATCCTTCGCACCAAGCGCACCATCGATTTGCGGCGGAAAGGCGGGCTTTCCAGTGTTTCACAAATCCACTTTGCCAGCGTGACTCGGGATCATGGGCAGTCCCTAGACATTTTGCGCAATATCTTTTATGCCATTTGAGCTGCGCGTGTTAGTCTCGGCGTGTTTCAGTTTGTGATTGATGTTTTGTTCGATTTTCGTTTTTTTTGCTTTGCGTCTGAATTGTACCAGTAAACATCACTGAAAAAAACAGAAAAGGCAAAAATGGAATAGATGGACTTAACATTGAACAATCACATCGAGACAAGCAGACAGTCAACAAAACAAGAAGCACAAACATTGCGAGTGTGATTGTTTTTTTGGCTTTGTTGTTTTTGAAATGGTTGGCATTTTTTTTTTTCTGGTTGTTGTTGTTTTCTTCGTTTTTGTTTTGGTTTAGTTGTTTGAAGCGTTACGAGTAGCGTTTTTTGAGTTATAATTGTTAATTTTCTCCTTTTTAGTTTGTTTTTGTGGTTGGCAGAGCACTCTGCCGTTGTCAAAAAATCTTAAAGGAAGATAAGGTGGAAAAAAAAGGAAGAAGCAAAAGCGCAGACCAACCCTGTCCGAATTCCCAGCTCAATACCACAAGAAAGAACACCAATTCCCCCCCTCACCCTTCCACAAACCAGAAAGAGAGTAGCAGAGGATGGCACCAAAGCGAAGAAATGGAAGCGACGGTTTAGCGAGGACGCGGGGGTCCTTGCGATGCGGCAGGTTCCAGTCGCGGCCGCTTTGCATCAGCTGCATGCGGAGCGCCTGGTGCGCCTGGTTGTGCGTGTGCGACAGACGGAGGGTTTGGCATCAAGCCCGCACCCGAAGACTCGTGCGGCCGCTTTTGCGGGGCAACGATCGGAGAGCTCGAGTAAGGCCGAGGCACAGCCCCAGCAGCACCAGCACCGGGCGGGGTGCCGTAGGGCGCACGAGCTCCGGGAGCAGCAGACGGCGACTGCGTCGCATTTGAGGCAGCCCGACCATGGAGCAAAGCCGTCGTCGAGTACTGAGAAGTACTGCGATTGGGCTGGCCGGCAAGAGGCGGTGGAGGGCCGCTCGGTCTGTGATGAGGAGGCGGATGCGACGAGCTGGTTGGACCGCCATGGTGCGTGGACGGGCCAGACGCTTGAGCCGGCCTCAGCGGTGGCACAACGGTGCCATTCGGCACAGGATTGAGAGGCCGCACCGTCTGGCCAGATGTGCCATACGACGCGGTTGCAGGTCGGTGTGCAGAGTGCGGAGCAGCAGAGCCATAGCTCGCGGTCGCAGGCTTCAACGCCGGTACCGAAGCATGGCCAGGCGCAGCGGCATGTGGTGGCGGATGCCGTCCATGCTGTGGATGCGCTGGATGACCATGGTGGGGTTGCCCCGGATGACCGTGGGTTTGCCCTGGATGGCCAGGTGCGTGTGTCGCACCGCGATGCATTTGAGCCTGCTGGCGCTCCTTTTCTCTCTTCTGACGAATGGCAAATTCGTGGCTCACGGGAATTTTAGGCAATCTAGGGGCAGAGGCAAAATGTAACGAGGCGGGGCAACCAGAGAAAAGGCGGGTGGGGAGGGAGAGAGGGAGGAGAGAGGAGAGGGGAGAGAGGGAGTGGAGAGGGAGTGGAAGAAGAGAGGGAGTGGAGGGGGGGGGAAGAGAGAGAGAGAGAGAGAGAGAGAGAGTGGAGGCGAGAGAGCGAGGGAGAGCGAGTGTGTGTGTCAGCATCACGTCAGAACAATGCGTTCGCGCGGCAACAATCAACACAATTTGAGGTGCCATGGTATGGCAGGAACTCACTCTTCTGGCTTCAAGGGCAGCGGGGACTTCCAGAAGTAGTCGTGATCGAGACACTGCGTCGCCGAGTAGCGCTTTGCAGGGTTCAGTGTCAGCAAGCAATCAATCAAGTTGACTGCTTCCAGGTCCCTGTGCGGTCAAGCGGCAAGACGAGGTTTTGGACAAGGGGACGGAAGCGGCAACAGAACAATTATCGCAAAAAAAGCGATAACACAAAGTTGAGCAACCATTTTGAGCAACCGTCAAACGAAGCAACAGAGAGAGTGTGTATGTGTGTATGGGGGGGGGAATGCGAGAAAGGCTCAAGGAGGAGGGTAGGGGGCGAGAGAGAGAGAGAGAGAGAGAGAGAGAGAGAGAGAGAGAGAGAGAGAGAGAGAGAGAGAGAGAGAGAGAGAGAGAGGGAGAGGGGAGAGAGAGAGAGAGAGAGAGAGAGAGAGAGAAAGGGAGAGAGAGAGAGAGAGAGAGAGAGAGGGAGAGGGAGAGGGGAGAGAGAGACCATTATGGGGTTTTGCATGACAAAACTCCTTACTGGATTTTTGAATTTAAAGCTTCGCGAACGCGTCGCTTGCAGTTGAGGCCCGACACATCTTTGAAATTGGGGAGTTTTTCGACGTCTGGCCAGCTTTCACCAGCAGGCGACCCGCACAATTCGATAATTTTGCGAAGCATTGCCATCTCGGATTCTTCGCGGAACAGGGTCGATCGCGTGTACATTTCATAGACAATGCAGCTGCCAAAGCATACAACACAAAAAGTTCGAGTGAGTCGACGTTGAAAAAACAAACAAAAACAAACAAAAACAAACAAAAAAAAAAACAACAACCAAACCAACACAAAACAATAACAACGTGATGTTCACAACTCACCCGACACTCCACATGTCAATGGCGGTATTGTACGCAGTATCGCCCAACAAAAGCTCAGGACAGCGGTACCAGAGAGTCACGACACGATTCGTGTAGCCGCCTTCCATGTCCTTATTTTTCTTTTCGAGCAGCACGCGAGCAAGACCAAAGTCGCCCAGTTTAAGCTGACCCCGGTTGTTGATCAGAATGTTTGCAGCTGCAAAATGTTTGGTACACCCAGTTAGAACACCGATTCCACTCCAACTCGGCCATTCGGGCACAAGCGCGTTACCTTTCAAATCGCGATGCACCACGTTGTTGAGATGCATGTGATTGAGCCCAGTCATGATCTGCTTCACGTAGCATTTGATGATGCCGGACGAAAGAACAACAGTCGGAGTCTTGATCAAAGCCTCCAAATCGCAGTCCATAAACTCAAAGCAAAGGTAGAAGGTCTCTGGTCGCTTGTCGCGACTTTCCTCTCGAACGAGATCGTACAGTCGAACAATATTCTCGTGCGAGGACTGCCACCTCAAAATTTTGATTTCGCGGACGGAGGTGATGGGGAACTGCACGAACAAAAGAATCCAAAGTTAACAAGGAAAAAAAAACAAAAAAAAAAAAAAAAACCCCTGCCCTCCATTCCCATTTTCTACACACAGCAAAAACCCTCCTTACCCCTTCTTGCTCCTCTTGCATCTTGACAGACTTGAGCGCCACAGGACGATTGTTGTGCAGCTTGTCATACGCGCGAAAGACTTCTCCGAATTGGCCATCGCCCACCTTGTTGCCCTTGTCAAACTCGGCAAGCGAGCGGCAGAAGGGGAACGGGCGATGTTTGGGCTCATAGGGCTTGAGATCGGTCGGAGGACGAGGGCGTTGGTGGTGCGAGTGTGAGCCGGAAGGCGGGGCAGTCGCTGCTGGAGCGTGGGCAGGGGCCGGGACCGGAGCCGAGGCCGTGGGCGGGACTGAGGCTGCTGGCGGATGCTCTGGCGCGCTGGACGCCGCCCGTCTGCGGAAACCTGCGGGCAATGGATGGTTTGGGTCGGATGCTAACGCAGAAGGCGCAGGAGCCGAGCTGCTGCTTTGGATGCTTTGACTGCTGCTCACGCTAGTCGGTCTAGCGGACGAGGCAGCAGTAGCAGTAGCAGCTGCAGCTGTGGCGGGATTCAGCATAGAGCTCGCTCGGACAGCGGGACGCGTGGCGGGCATTGGCGACGACGTCGCCGAGGACGGGGCGGAAGGCATGGGCGAGTGGTACTGCTGCAGCTGGAGCAACGACGTGCCGTGTGCAGCAGCGCCTGGCGGCGCAAGCAGACCCGATGGTGCGTGGGCAGTGGACGACGCAGTCGTCGCAGAGGAAGCAAAGGGAGAAGGCGCGTTGTTGGCTCCTTCTTTTCCATTCCACAGACTCATCGGTTCCGGTGCAGCCGCCTGTTCGGTGGTACGAGTGGCCAATCCTTCCATGGAAGCATCCGACGAAAGAAGGTGGTCGTTGTTGGCAGCGGCGGCGGTGTCCTCGGCTGGGGTAAACCCAGTCGTCGTCACCGCCGCACCACCCAAATGGTTGAATTCGCCAGCCAGCAACGGCTCAGTGCTCTGCATCGATGGATTGCTCGACGGAGGCAATGGCGAACTGTCCCAGAAGGCGTGCGCATCGTAAGTCTGTTCTGAGGGCTTTTGCTCAAAGTGCTGCTGTTCGTAAACATTGTCAAACTCTGGGAACGACTCAATGGGGGCGTCTGCAGGTAGGACGACATCGGATGTGTCGAACACGAGTGCGTGCGAGCCATTGAGGTGCAGTGAAGACGATGAAGATGCCGCGGCATTCGCGTTGTTGCCTGTGTGGGCGACGGCTTCCGCCGACTCAATCATCGAGAAGGCAATGGAAAAGTCTGTGTTGGTAGAATCGGAAGAGGACGACGATGAAGACGTTGCGACTACTGTAGCTGTCGCGGTCGTGGCACTTGTAAACGAGCTGGAGAGGGACGAATCCGTAAATCCAGGGTTCATGTCCTGTGAGGGAAGCAAAGCGTGCTCGAGGAGTTGCGACTGGCCACAAGCGAACGACGACGACGACGACGACGACTGCAACAGCTCTTCTGGAGGCGTCAGGACATTCGAGTACGGTGGGTGGATGTGTTCAGCGCAGTGTTGCTGTTGGATGGACGCTTGAGCTGCTGTTTCCATCCAAGTGTGCCCTTTTTTTTTGTGTGTTGTTGTTGTGTTGGTGGAGTGTTTTGGTTCTTGTGTTTCAAGGTGTT